GAGGCTGGATCAGCGGCTGCTGAACAACGTAAGTCTGTTGACCAATCTGAACCAATTGGACATTTTGGCCTAGGCGGGCGGGGGGGTGGTGATAAAATCAATTTTTGAGGCTATGCAAATCTCAACAGTAGTTAAAAGACAAAAAAGACACTGTGGGATGGCATTACGCATGAACACTGTCCGTTCCTGAAAACATTATGACGACCCCTGGTCAGCATAATAGAGCCAGGAACAAGACTACTAGTAGATCAGTTGTGTAAAAAAGCACAACTAAAATCAAATATATTTTGCGGGCAGTTAAAGGAACGCAGCCAATCAAGAGGTCGCGAAACAATTTTTGAGAAACCTCAGTTGTAAAGCAGGACAAATTCTGGTTATTTTAACAGTATTCGAAGTTAGACAGGTCGTATCATCTACCTAAGTGGGGTGTCACACACTGGCGCTGTCAAAAGCTTTGTGTAGAATATACATAAATTACCAACAAAGAATTGACAGACGGGTGCCACATCGCAACAATTATGGCTTAACGGGCGGCTTTATCCCACCTCCCATTAAATACTGAGACAATTTAATTATCTCCTTTTTCCTACACACCACCTCGCACCGTAAAAGAGTAAACTGTGCTCGCGTAGGCCTTAGTGTGATGGAAATTTGCTGAGATAGACCCGAGGATCATTTAAACTTGACATTTAAGCAAAGGCAGTCAGCAGCTATGGTATTGCACAGTGGGTTGGTAGGAACCTTATGGACGATAAAATCTAACTGTACTGTCGATTTCCTTTTATCGTGAGCTCCAGAAATTAAGTGGCATATGTAACGTTACCGTTGTTAAAACTCCGGCTTCGTCATGAAACCGACAGTAGACCTGCCTCGTTGTCAGCATTGATGTTTCTCTATTACTTTCCTGCGACTCTAAGAAAGAGGTTTCATTCTAGCAAGTTGTCCTCTGGCATATGGAAGGTTTGGGTTATGTAAGGGAGATCATGAAGGTGGATCAGGCGGCTATTCCACTATGTGCAAGATGGTTTGCGGAATACCTTACCCGATTTAGATATCAGGTAGGCGAACCTCGCCTAAATTAACTGTATTGTCTAATCGACTTTGTTCGCCCGAAAGGTCTGCTTTCTTGCCTCACCAGACAAATCAGGCAAAAATGCAATAAATATTCCGTTTTTCAAATACAGCACGTGTGCTTTATGGGACATACTGCTAGTCCACAATCTTTTAGGCGCGAACCAGGGTAGGTTCTGTCGGTACAACTGTATGCAACAAGCCCGTACCAGTTAGACAACGTGAGGGAACTCGGTCGGTAGATAGCGCCACTTGTAGGGCTGTTAAGTGACAAGAGATGAGCCTGTTTCGTGCACTGATTACAGCTGATGACACAAAATCAAGAGCACTTCGGGTAGGTTCGACTCGAAGCCGCTGTTGTTTTATGCTAAAATATAATTTAGACTGGTTTATGGCGTGCGTTTGTCGGGCTGAGTAGGAGGCACTTTATTATTTCTGCCTGTGTGTATGATCCACATTAGAAGACGACCCCGCGTCATGTCTTAATTCAGTTGTGAGCTTAGAAAGTAGCAAGTCGTGCGGAGGGTGCTACGGATACCGCAATAGCCTACATCATTATAAACACCTACACGTGAGGCAACAATGTGACACCAAAACGGCAGTGGGTCGGCAGTCGCCTGCCTCGGTCGGGTTTGGCTGCTCAAACAATGAGCAAGATGATGCCGCAATCAAAAAGAGGAGGTTCTAGTATTGTAAGAGTACCTCATGAACCCGAACAGCTTTTACACCGGTCTGTGTAAAACCGGATGGTAGCAGAGAGGGAAAAAAATAATAAAAATGGCTTAATGTCGAATTTGATATTTACTGGAGGAAAACTCGAGTAGGGTGTCAGCGAACGATGAACTGGTTCACAATAGATTCAACCGGGTAATTCTTTTTTTTTTGAGGTTTTTGTGCATGCTTGTGCACCTTTTTGCAGTCGAGGGCAGTTTGTCCCTAAACTTTTGGTAAAATTAGGCAATGTTCAGGAAGTTTTAGAGGAACATGACGAGGATGAAATTGCGAGTAACCGGGAGCAATTCCAGACACGTAGAACTATGAAAGGAAAGTCGTTTTGTCTTCAATGACACCAGGGTAGCAGTAGTGCACGGCGCTAGTGAACGAAGGTTGTGAGCACCACACTTCGCATTCTGACAACCTTATTCCGTACTTCCATGTTTTTTTTTTAGTTAAAGGATTGCCTGCGGCGGCTACAACTGTTTCTGGTTATGAGTTTGAGTGATAATCTGAAACGTCAGGCCGATACACTTCGTGTCCCCGCAATCGTGTCTTCTTCGAAAGGATAGCTATATTGTTAGTAAATGAATATTATGTAGTTAATAAGAGAACTAATTTAAAATGAGGCAAGCTTTTGATCTTTTATTGTTGCCTTTCCGGTCGCGTAGGGCTAATTGTGATTAACCAGGTGCAGTTTCCGCGTGAGTGCATCGATAGTTATTTTCAGAGACTAGTCGTACGTCCGATTTCTAACCGCATATGGCACCATTGTCAACACATGCAGGCAGGTTAGAAAGTTGCAACAT